GAAAATCTACACCAGATGTATTAACTTTGTCCTGCAGCTCTAGGGTTTACTGTACCTTGATCTCATAAGATAATTTATTTAATGTAATATCTTATCCAGGTTTGAAAATCTTCTCAAATTTCCTTTTAATAGGTACCTGTTAGAATAATCCCAAAGATACATTTGAATGTGTTAGTTCCTCATACATGTAAATATGATTGAAATCATAGATATGTGTCAGGAATTTAGCACATATGAATTATTGTTTTTATTTAATAACTTTGGGTATTGCAACACTAAGTTAAACCTAAGTCGTTCATAAGGCAGTATAGTTACAGTGAGTTGGTAAGAATTATTTAAGGAACTGTCTAATAATGTAGAAGTATCCTTTAGAACAAATTAGTTTTAGATATTAATATTCAGTTGTCTAAAGTACATTTTCCCCTAAAATACAATAATTTTAAAGGGAGTAAAATACTTAGTGACTGTATAAAATGTTGAAAATCAGTTGTATTTACTTCTATTTAAAGATACATTTAGATCTGCTTCTCATAAAATAACATGGGAACCCAGAATATCAGTAAAATGAACAATCAACTTTCTTCGGAAAACATTTTTTAATTAACTTTCCATTTCTGGGATGCATCAATAATTGCCATTTAAATTTTTTTCTACTGTTTTCCCTTTGTTTTTTACTTTTTGCTTCTGAGTGTGAAAAATGAATGCCCTGAGACCAGGGAGCACATTCTCTTTTTATGTTCTTCCCATATTCTGTAATTTTACTTGTGCCAGCTTTTTGAGAGAGTTACTCAATATAAGTCATCAACTGCTGCCATTACTATTGAAAAATTGAATATCTGTTAGTGGTTTCCATTTTTTTGGAAGTGGGGGGAAGTGACACTACTTGGCACATAGAGCCTGAAGCCTTGCACTTAGAATACTCCTGTCCAAGCACTAACAATATTACTCCAAACACCCATGTATCCTACTTCTAAAATATTAATTCTTGAAATTCCATGAAGTACAATGGGTATACTTGCCAAAGTTTGTGTGTTGTTGCTTCAGATGTGTAAAAAAAAGAAGAGGCGTGGGACTGGTCTGTCAAGTGGCACAATGCATTGAAATAAAGGGACAACTTAAATCTATTCTGAAGAAGAAAAGAACTAGGGCATTCTACCTCACTTGCACAAAAATGAGGTGGAGGCAGCCATATTTGCTCTATGGGAATAGAAGGAAAAATGTTTTTGGCCCTTCACAGATCACTCTTTTCACCACAGGTTACTGTACCAGTTTGTTGTCCACATGGGCATTTTGTCCCATCACAGAGACAGAGATGCTTGTAGATCTTTATTTTCACAAATCAGCCAAATTCCATAGAGTCTTATTCATGTGTTTTTCAGATCCTAAAATTTCTATTTTTCTTAAACTTGGTGACTCTAAGATATCTGCTGTACAGTATTTAACTATAAATTTGTCATCATTGCTGAATATCGTGTGTATTTTAATTCGTGGATCCATTTATTCATTCATTCTTGGGTCTTCACCCATAAAGCTTTTGCAGCATGATATACACATTTAACTACATATCAGAGTGTCTTCACTTGCCACTTCTTTTGATGTAGCATTGCTATACATCCAGTAACAATGTTACATCGCAAGCAGGAGAAAGCAGTAAACAGAACTAAGGGAAGGAAGGATCTGGCTGTCAGTGTAAATGTAAATAGCAGCTGTTCCATTCAAACTGTTTTTAAAAGACCACACGGTGAGAGCTTTGCATAAAATGGGCCAGATCCTCAAGAATCAGGTTTTAGCACAAAATTTAAGAGGCATGCTGCCATCCTCCTGTTCTCACTGTTTCACTTTCCCACTATTACACAAACAGTAGACAGAAAAAAATTATATATATATATATACACATATATATGTGTGTATATATATATATGCACACACATACATACACACATATATATATTAGCCTCTGTTAAAATGTTATTTAAATATCTATTTCTGTGTGAAAATGTTATTTAAGTATCTAATTCTGTGTCAATATGCAGATATATCAATATATATATAATTCAACTTGCGGTACAAAAATGACATTATAAATGGTGTTATTGTTATTTGCAAAATATGTGCTGAGTCCTAAGGTTACATGATTTTCTCTTGTGGTCAGGTGCTGTGATCTATCTGGTAGATCAAGCTTTAAGACTTTTTACTTCAAATTTAAAGTTTCTCAAATTATCTTCCTTCTGTCATTTTTCTAGTAAAAGCAACTGTCCTATATGGCAGAGGTCCCTAACCTGTTAAGAACCAGGCCGCACAGCAGGCTGGTAGGTGAGCAAAGCTTCGTCTGTATTTGCAGCTGCTCTCCAGCGCTAGCATCACCGCCTCAGCTCCACCTCAGATCATCAGGCATTAGATTCTCATAGGAGCTCCCACCCCTGGTGCCAAAAAGATTGGGGACCACTGCAGTACATAACATTACAATGTCCTTTTAAAAAATATACTTATACCATTTTTTTTTCCTGCCAAGCTTGCACATATTTTCCCCCCTCATTGGTTAGTGTGATAAACTACTGGTAATGAGCACTTTAAAAATATGCTTATACTTGTATACCTAGAGACGAGGCGGCGGGGATCATGACTGGCTAATTCACTAAACATTATCTGATCTAATATGTTTACCCCATTGAAATATTTTTATATTAAACTAGACTCTTCCAAGGCCTACATCATGAGAATAAAAAATGTTAAAGACTTAGTGAATGAATGAAGAAATGAAAAACAACATTGGCATCTAATGGTAACAAATAAAAATTAAACACACTTGAATAAATGCGAATCTAATTTTAATGTTTGTTTAATAGTTGTACATATTGAAACTTCCAATAAGGATATTAACTAACATTTGTATATTCATCATAGTGGAGCTTTTCTTTGTATAAATGTACTTTTTTTGTCACATAAGCAAAGTCAAGGACTCCACCAGTTCCTGTTTACTCAGTAGATATAAATCATATAAATAAACCATAACTAAGGAGTTTTTAGTCTTGTTCCTTCTTCTTTATATATATCAGGGGAAACTTGAGATAAAAGCTTTTAGGGAAAAAACTATAAATAAATATTGAACCCCAGTTAATTATATAATGCCAAAGTCTTTAGAAAAATGTATACCGAAGTTATATGGATTGATGGATGAGAAGAGGTAAAGAAAACTGAATAGGTATGTGATAAAGCAAATTTAGTATAACAATAAGGGTGGGCATGTGGGAATTCGCTATATGTTTGAAATTTTTTTATAATTAAAATGTTTGAAAAAAGTCTTAGGAGTTTATTTACTTCCCCCCACCCCAATCCCCACCCCGCCGCCTTAGGATTTTTAGTTTAAGAAAGACAGGTATTCAAGAACAATTGAAGGTGAAATTACTTTTAGGATTATATTTTCTCATCTCTATTATACTAAAATGTTTTCCCATTTTATATTGCAATTTCCTTTGTCTTTCTTTATGAATATGAGTTTCCCAGTCTGAAAGATTAATATTTTTTTCCTAGATAAAAAGAGTCATTATGAGAAAAATATATGACAGTTTCATTAATGTTAACTAACCTATTTTGTATATATATTTTATAAATCTATAAACATTTCTCCCTTCTGTATAGTAATATTAACCATTTTTATTTCTTCCTGATATTAATTCATCTACTACTCTGCTATTCTATGAGTATAAAGAAGGATCAAATCCATTACTTCTTAGACTTACTTTGGCCAATCACCAAATAAACATCATATGATTTGGCCATTAAGCCTGACCTTTTTATTTTTTCATGGCAAAATTTGACTGACCTTGTGCCTCTTGGGTCACCTCTCCTTGATTACCAATTTATCCTCCTTTGAAATTATGTAAAACACTTTATCTCTAATGCTCATTTGATACTTGTAAACAATAGCTCGTATTATATATAATGTCAACATAGTGTCAAAAACATATCAAGATTATAAATAATGCTTACAAGGTATAACATAAATTATAAAGTGCTACTCAGGTGTGTTTGTGTTTCTTGTTGTTGCTACTAGTATTGGTATGATCATCACCTTCCTAGAAGCAGAGATGATCTTTGGTGCCCTTTTTTATCCCTCGTTGCTCCTACTTACCGCTGCATCTTGAACAAAGTAGGTTCTCAATATATATGTAGTAAAAGCTTGATTTTTAAATTGTTTAACGGTCAGATAAGAGTTGGCTTGATTGAGCTTTAAAAATACTAACTGCTGTTTTCCAGACTGAAATCCATCACCAAGTCTTACTTTGCAGATAAACCATTTTTATCCCATTTCTTAAAAATTTACTTGGGTTAAGATTTTGTGAAAAAACAAAAGTTATTTACGATTTTGTAATACTTAATAAGCATTATATATTTTATAATACATTTAAGGAGCATTGTACATAGTGCTAAAGGGTACTGAAGCCTACCATAAAGCCTGATAATTATGCACTATATCCTCTTTGGCAACGTAATGATGTGAAATTGATATAATTCATTTATTTCCCTTTCCAAAGTGTTCCAACTTCTTCGAAAATTATTTGGAGCCTTTGCCAATATTTTGATACTTCTAATGGAAAAGATATCTGAATATTTCAGATATACTGAGAGTAGTAGGCTGTAGATTGTGCAGCAGCAAAATGACATACCCATGAAACTTTTTTCCCAAGGGTGTTAATGTCTAGGATCTCAGATGTCAGTCTGGTCTAATGGCCGGAGCCTCAAAGGGAGTCAAAACTCCTGGACTGGTTTTCCCCCTGGATTTTCCACATACCCCTGCCTGGTAAGTAGCTACTGTTTCTCAGTTTCTCTTCATTTTACTCCATCCTTCACAAAAGTCCTTTTTCTTGGATCGTTTAGAATGAACAGGAAAAATAATCCATCTGACCAAAGCCAAGAATGAAACTTGAGGAAAATATAAGGTATTACTTGTATTGAGTTTGGACATTCCCGAGAAACTGATTTTTATTGTCTGCCAACAGGGGAGGCTTTACACTTGGCTCGTGATTTTGGCTACACTTGTGAAACAGAGTTTCCAGCCAAAGCTGTCGGAGAACATCTTGCCAGACAACATATGGAACAGAAAGAACAGACAGCAAGAAAAAAGATGATCCTAGCGACCAAGTAAGCAGAGTGGGGAAGACTCTACAAGCCTTTATTCTCAGTGTTTCCAGTGTTTGTTTGTTTGTTTGTTTGTTTGTTTTTTGAATCAGGGGATGGGTCAGAAAACACCAATTGTCTAAAACAAGGGGGTCTCACATACTGGCCGCTAGGTATATGAAACAAGGACCCTCCACACACCACTTGTGCCCATTGCAAGATTTTTTTTGTTGTCACCGATGGAAGTTCTTAGAAAACTTCTCCAGAATATGCAGGAATTCCTAGGAGAAAAACATGTTTAAGAGATGGAGTTCCAAGCAAATATACCTTTGGTTGCTATATAATTTGGTGTCAGCCACTCATTGTGCCTTCATAAATGACGATAAAGATCTTGAAGCACTGTGAGTGTTTGGGCAATGTGACAAAAGTTTAGGTCCTAGGTGCAAGAAAGGTAACAGGGAGACCTCTGGGACCAGGGATAGCCATTAGTGTCCCCACCTTTTCTTGTGTATAATTAAGCGAATAGTCCTTGTACCACCCCACTCCCTGTGGTGATATTGTCTAAAAGAAAAGGTATTTTGGCTATACTTGTGAAACTGTGGGGGAAAGTCCATTTCAAATGTGAATTAAAGTGAAGGAAATGACACATGTACGAAAGGGGAAGCTTGCATGAGATGAGTTCAATTTCAAACTTGAAATTTCTTTGATAAATAATTATGGAGCTCCCATTTATTGTGTGAAAGCCCAGCAGAACTATAAGTACTGCTGCAAGTCATGTTCAAACTTTTACAGAAAAATCTTTCAAGTAGTAGCTAATTCTTGCTCTCTTGTTCTTATTAAAATAAATTACTGCTACATAGAGACCATTAATAATCTTATCTAATTTCCTAATTCTACACTCAGATTTTAGAACTAATAGTCCCAGGTGGTTAAATTATCATTTATAAATTAGTTTCTTATTCGAGAATAACTTCTAAAGAGAAAGCATAAGAAGATAGTGTTAGAAACAGTGATCCTTATAAACTGATGAAAAAATGACTTTACAACATGCTGGCTAAAATTTAAATTGGCTCAAAATATATAAAACCAGAAGCAAATATTCCTTCTTCCACCAACCTCCAATATAATATAGATCTTTTTACAAATTTAATGGTTTATATAAGATACATACCACCTAACAGGCTTGCCCGAGACACTTGAATCCTTTATTTGGGGTTTATGCTGCTTGTGGCTGTCCCCATTTGGGTTTAGGATATACTTGTGCACTGCTCTTCTGAGAGTACTAGAAATTCTCTTGCAGCAAAGAGAAGGAAAATAAAAGTTGTAGCAAAAGGAGAAGAGAAAAGGCCAAACGAGGTGATAAAAGGGAAAAGTATAGCAGAAGGAGAGAATGAAGATCGAGAGTTAGAGAAAAAAAACTATAAGGCAGGTAAAGTATTTGGATTTAAAACTGAGGGATAAACTTTGTGCCATGGAAGCTCCTGAACACTTGCTAGTGGAAAGACCTAAACCTGGACTTTTTGTATAGTTTATCTCCAGAGGGGTCTTCACTTCTATTTTGTTTCTACGCTTTCCCTCTTCCAAATAGTTCCTTGACTAAGAAGGGTCTTCATCAGTCATATTTCATTTTCTTCAGAAAGAACTGAAAGTTCATGCAGTTAGTTTGAATCCTTAATATAATCTCAGGAGAATATAAAGACTTGTTATGGATCAAAACCTCTATACAGTGCTAGAAGCTAGTATCCCCTAGGTGTTCTCAAAGCATCATATTATTCTAGCTGGCAGGATCATATGGATTTCCTAATATATATACCCATGCAATACCTCTGAATGACACCATTATCCCAAAATACAAATTATCCAAGAGAAAACACCTTTGTATTTTGTACCTGAAATTACTCAGTTGTGATTTTACTGTGCATATTCTAAGACTTTCACTCCCTAAACCAGAGAAAATCTTCTTTTCACCACTCTTACCCCAAGATCAGGCCTGTATGTTTACCCTAACCACACAGAAATGCCACCATTAACATTCCAGACACAAAGTCCATTTTCTTGGGAGCTCCCATAACTCTGTTTAAGTATTTGGGAGTCAGTGCATCCAAACTGATGCTTAGGTTTTCTTTTCACAGAAGTAAATGTTAGAAGAACTTGAGAGAATAAGGGAAGTACTTACATATTTGTCAAAGTTACACTGAGACATATGTTTTAGAGTTGTAGATTCAACTAAGGAGTCCTGTTTTCCTTTTACCTGGGATCTAAGTCATGTATGTTATTTTAGGTGATATTTTGATCTTTGATTTCATAAAATCTTGTGAAAACATGTAACTTGCTTTGATTTTTCTGCCCATAGTTAGACATTTACAAACCATGAAGTGTCGAGCAAAAATTGAGTTCAGTAATTCTAATGACCTTATTTTACATGAGAGTAAATAGGCCATAAACATCTAAAAATCAGAAGAGAACCTTTATCATTTTTTTGTCTTTTTGGTTATTTATATCCATCCCATCTTTTTATTAAACGTGAAATAAGAATGAAGAATCAGATACCATGCAGTCATAGAAAACATACACAATACAAGCAGTCATCAATATAAGTAAATAAAGTAAGGAACGTGTAGGAATAACATCTTTCTGCAACTTATCAGTGGGTATAACACATGTTCTAAGTGGTTTCTAATGGTAAAGCATTGCCTATTTTCAATTAAAATACTCAAAGTTGAAATTAAGTAACCTTCCTGGATATTCATTATATTCTAACAGCTCACCTTTGTTTTTAAGACCATGACAATTGTGTCAAAAAATTCAAAATTCTTTGTATGAGATATTCAATTGCTGGTCTGTGTCAGCAGATTGGCTTACATATCTCTTTTTTCCCCTATGAATACTAGATTTAGTTGTAGTGAATTATATTGCCAAATATATAATTGTATGAAAGGTCCATTGGTTAAGTGCCGTTAGCCTCCTAATCCCTCTTTATTTCTAGTGCTTTGTTGATTAACCAAATACTTTGTTGTTATTAAATAGTTATTTATGAGAGATAGAAACTGAGTAAGACAGTTTTTGAAATCTAAAATGTAGCACACAAAACATTTATTTGATTTATGGAAAATATTTAAACCTCTTCATTAAATTTAGAACTAAATATGATTAACATTTGATGCACATAAAGGTAAAGCAGAATAGTTAGCAAGTTTTAATTTAGTGTTACCATACCATTAATCATCAAAAAGAGAAATATAGAACTTTAAATTCAGACATACTAAAAAATTATGTCCTTAAGGACAATGACATAAGTGATAAAGTTAGAATTTGTGATTCATCGAAGATCGCCTGTTACATAATTCATAATGTGACATTTTCTTTTGAGAAATGAGTATTTCTTATTGTAGCTTCATAAATAAAATTTTAAATGAGAATGAAAGTAAGCAGAAAAAATAATAACTTTTTGCCACAATGAGAGATTGACGATCATTGCCTAAGGGATAGCTACTAAATTGTTATCTGTTTTTAAGTCTAGAAGCTGTCCTGAGTCATGAGCTAAGCAGCAGAATCAAATATCAAAGGTGGAGAATTCTGAAACTTCTGATACAGCTTTTCGTGTGGAGTAGTTGAATTGCTAAGCATAAGTTAAATTTTTCCACACTTCGCTTTTTCCTCATTTCTTCACCAAGTTTAAGTTCATTGTAACTTGCTGTATTGTTTATACAATAAGGAAGTTAGTTTGCCAACATAAATTTGTTAATTATCCAAATAATTCTCATATCATAACATAAGAACTAAAGCAATGTTTTGACCTTCATTTAAATTTTTAAATATATTTTAATCTGATAGAAAATTGAAAGACTAGTCTTTAAACAACTCTAATATTCCTTTGTAGTAATGGATCACATAGTTAGCCTACTAAATTGTAATTTATTTTGCTAGTCTGAAAAATGATAGCATGAATCTATATTTAAAATTTTAGTTAGACATTTCCTAAAGACTAAGACAACAATATAGCTAACTATTGACTAACACAAAGCACAACAGATAATGATATCCCTCCAAATGTCATCATTTAATGCCATCAAACACTTAGCTTTAGTTGCTATTCATCTATTAAAATTAGGTTATATACCTGAAAGTCAGCCAACTGAGTCTGACTCAGAACAGAAAAAGTATGAAGTTCAGACAAAATATTTTCTATGAAAGCACACACATGCCGTTGTTAAAAGCATGCATTTAGATGCTATATCTCAGAGACTCAGCCAAACATTAGCAGGGGGATATGCAAAAACATGTTTGATTTATAGCAGATGAAGGCTTACCTCTCTGTTCATTTGTTTTTCCTCTCGCTGCAATCCTCTTTACTTTCACTTGTGTTCAAAATGAATAAGGCAAGTTCTGTGAAATGAGGCAATATTTGAACACTGACAATAAACTTGAGTCTCATTATTTATAAAAAAAAAATCACAAATGATCTTTGGAAGAAGTTAATAAATTGTAGGCACCTATAATAAACAGGACACCACTGATTTTAACTCAGTGATAAATTATTTTATCATTATGAAATGACAAAAAGACATTTTGTCATTTTTTTAGTAGTCATTTGTTAATGACACAAATTTCTGGAGAGGAATTAGTGGCTGGGTCCATGGAATTGCATTCACTTGGGATAATTTGACTCTCCTGAACTTGTCTTTGGCTATATTGATAATTATAGTCAGGGCTACATGATTACATTTTGTGACTGCCCAATGTCAATCCTGACCAAAAAAACCTAATCACTATCATATTATCCCTTGAATATGGAGTAGTCTCACTTCAGAAGACATATTATTTTGAGCAATTCCTTGGGAGTCCTTTACTTCACTCTTCAGCTACTGCATCAATCTAGTGTTTGTTGTTATTGTTGTTGATTTTATAAAAAGTTATTTCTTTACATGTTTTGCTTCTTTAGAATTGTATTGTTTGGACTATGTATTCCAAGGGCTTTACTGTTATCCAACATGCATGGCAATGTGGTAATTAAAACTGAAACCAGTCATCAGAAATCATAACCTTTTAAAGTAAGAAAAGCAGCAGGAAAATGCTCTTACATGGAGTAGAACAATAATTTTTGTGAGGCTAGTGGACTAAATTGTGTGTAATATTAAAATACAAATTTAGTCCACAATAGTCTGAGTTATAATATTGGAAAAAAACCATTTTCCAAAGCCTACTTGAATCATGGCTCCAAAATAAGCCTATAACTTGATTTAGACTTGTTTTTACAGATATGATATCTCCCCCAAATCACATTTTAATGTAAAAAATTATTAATTGTGATCCTTACATATAGATTTTCCTTATCCTGGAGTTAATTTATGAATAGTTACCTTAAAATTAACATTGGTTTTATCAACGCCGGTGGACTGTTACTCAATTTGAAAGATTTGCAGTCACCCCATAGTACTTGAGAACTGAGCTGCCATTGTGAACCTCATCTGTATGTTGTGGATGGAACTTCGCAGGTTGCTTTGTGAAATTTTATCTAGTGCTATCGTAAAAGAGAAAACAAACCTTTTATAAACCTCATAGGGTGAAATTAAAGCCCCATTTCGAGAGTTCAACTTTAACTTTGAATTTTTTATTTTAGACAAATTTGTAAAGAATTCCAAGACCTCTTGAGCCAAGATAGATCACCACTGGGATCCTCCAGACCCACTCCAATTCTAGACCTGGACATCCAGAGACACTTAACACATTTCAGGTAAGATGGGTTTTCCAAGATGATCAGACTCTCTGTTAAATTGTTAAAACTGCCTTTACTAACTCAAGACCTTTTAGTATTCTTATCACAGTTCCATTTAAAGATATCACTTATATATTTATGTGGTGACTGACTAAATTGTTTGAAATTCCAAGCATTTAAGATAATATTATAAAAATAACTAATGTATGAAGCATTCTGGATAAGAAAATTTAAAATCTTTGCGTGATCATCAAGGACTTGTGACTTTTAAAGAGGACACTATTATTTCAAATAATATCATTTTGGATCAGGTGTCTGAAATCCTTTAGATAGTTCTTTATCTTGATTATATAAATTGTTGAATGAACAGATGACATGACAGAAATTAATGGGATATCATAGACTGATGTTTCAAGAGTATAATTTCCACACAACTAGATACTGTAAACAGTTCTTCAGTTAGTATACACAAATAATTTAGAAAACCCTGGATTGTATTATTAAAAGCGTATTGTGAATTTCATTTTCTGAGAGGCTTTGGAAGAGAATAGAATATTTTTCCTGGTTAACTTATGCCCTGGGTACAATTTGGAAAAGAACATGATAACCATTCAGGTGCCTTTCAATTATAAAACTTTAGAATTCTATGACTACATGATATTTCTCATCAAAATAAAAATATTTATCATCTTTTAAATATTATCATTTAGTTTAAATAACGATGCTAAGGAAAGACTAATAGACATTAAATTTCAAAATCTTCTTAATACCTCTCAATGACTATAATATTGTTGAGGAGGATACTCCATTATAATAAAATGAAAGGTACTTAAATAAGTTGGAATTTTATCTGCAACATCAGAGATGTTTAGATAAAATACTTTATTTTCCATAATGTCACAAGGCTCCTCAAGATGTAATAGACACATCTCTGAAGACTAAACTTAGTATTTATTTTCTAAAAATACACCAAATGTAGCATCTATTTCACAGGACTTTTCTCCTATGACTCAAATGGGTTAGTGACGGTGAGTGTACTAAAACTGGAAGAAAATGTAATGTCCAGAAGTTTAGAGCAAAAACTATGGAGTCACTATAACCATCTTCAAATCCAGACCCTTATACATTCAAGCTGGGTCGTTTGGGGTAGTCATACCCGTACAAATATTTTTCACATTTTGATTTGTGTATATACTAAAAACATTTAAATATTTACAGATGTCTAAGTCAGAACTTAATACATTTTACACAAAATCAATTCTGGATTTAAGGAAGTTTGTCAAGTTATAAATTTACTCTTAGAAGTAACTTACTGTTCAAATATAGAGAATTGGGACTCGATGTCATTTCTACTAGGTTATTTCCGACTATGGGTGCCGCAGCCTTTATTAGACAGTGAGCTGTCACTTTTCAGGCTCAAAACAAAATACAGCATCAGTGCGTAAATTGACTATCAGCTACAGTGTGAAATAAATAGCCAGATCATTTGTTTGCTCAGCATAGGCACAATCTGCTCATGTGTTGATACTTTAGTCATTTGCCAACTTAATACCACAGAACTCTTTGGAGAAAACTTTCACTTCTAAACTTGAGCTGAATGTTTCCTATGTGGGCTTTATATGCGCTTACTTACTTCCCCATGCAGAATATGGTAACAAACTACTCTGATATTTCCCAGAGAATCTTGTCTGATGTTTTCCAGAAAAGAGCTAAATATATGGTAAATTGCTTCTGCTATTCTCAGTAAAGAGACAGAGAGAGAGACAGAGAGAGAGACAGAGAGAGAGAGAGAGAGAGAGAGAGAGAGAGAGAGAGAGAGAAAGAGAGAGAGAGAGAGAGAGAGATTATATTTGGGGTGTAAAACTCTAAAGATTATACATGGCAGCACATTCTCAATCACAACAATTTGACGCACATAACCATACTTCAAAACATTTAACACTACATGGTATATCTACTGATAAAAGTATCATCTATAAAATTTTTGTGTTGTTATTTATATGCTGAGTATTTTGCTATCAAAAAGTTATAATTCCCATTTAGTATGCTTTTTTAATGTTTGCCAGATTTTCACTTATTTTTCTTTAACTACATTTCAGATTATTTATTTAGATGAAATCTTTGATTTCATAATGGAAGATAGTATGATGAAAGAAGTCACTTAACCAAAATTCACTTTATATCATATTTCTTAAATTATATCTTTTTAAAAATGTGGTAAGAAACACATAACAAAATTTATCATCTCTAGGTATACAGTTCAGTAGTGATCAGTATATTCACAATGTTGTGCAACCAATCTTCAAGACTTTCTCATTCTGCAAATCAGAAACTCTATAACCATTAAGCAACAACTCTCATTTTACCTTACCCCCAGCCCCTGGGAACTACCATTTTACTTTCTGTCCCTATGAATTTGGCTACTTTAGATACCTCATATAATTAGAATCATACAGTATTCGTCTTTTTGTGACTGGCTTATTTTATTTAGCATAATGTTCTCAAGGTTCGTCCTTCTAATACTGGATAATATTCCATTGTATGTATATGAGACATTTTGCTTATCCCTTCATTTATCAGTGGATACTTGGGTTGCTTCTACCTTTTGTGAATAGTGCTGCTATGAACATGGGTGTACAAATATCTCTTTGAGATCCTGCTTTCAATTCTTTTGGATCTATACCCAGAAGTAGAATTACTATGTCATATGGTAATTCTATTTTTAATATTTCGTGAAACTGCCATACTATTTTGCATAGTGGCTGCACCATTTTACATTCTCACCAACAGTGCACAAGAATTTTATTTAGTTCCTCCACATTCTTGCCATCACTTGTTATTTACTTTTTTTTTTTTTTTTGGTGGTAGCTATCCTAATGAGTGTAAGGTAATATCTCATTACGATTTTGATTTGTAGTTCTGTAATGATTAGTTAAGCATATTTTCTTTCATATGCTTTTTGTCAGTGTCTGTGTCTTCTTTGCAGAAATGTCCATTTACATCTTTTGCCCATTTTTTAATCTGCTTATTTGCTTTTTTGTTAAGTTTTAGGAGTTCTGGATATTAACCCCATATTAGACATATAATTTGTAAATATTTTCTCCTGTTCTGTAGGTTGCCTTTTATTCAGTTGATAGTGTCCTTTGATGCATAGATGTTTTTGATATAGTTTAATTTGCCTATTTTTACTTTTGTTGCCTGTTCTTTTGGTGTCATGTCCAGGAAAACCTTGCCAAATCCAATGTCATGAAGCTTTTGGCCTACTACGATTTCTTGTAAGAATGTTATAGTGTTAGGTCTTATGTTTAGGTCTTTGATCCATTTTGAGTTAATTTTTGTATATGGTGTAAGATATGTGTCCAAATTCATTCTTTTGCATGTCTTAGACTACAGCAAGTCCTCACTTAATGTCATCAATAAGTTCTGCAACTTAAAGCGAAACAACATATAATGAAACCAATTTACTGTAGGCTAACTGATATAAATAAGAGTTAAGTTCCTATGGGGTTGCATCAATATTATAACGAAATGACATTATTCAAAACCTGCCGTATATCCTTTGAAACAAAAGGTTTAAACATGGTTGACATTTCCAATTAAAACCCAAATTGAAGTCTCTCAGACCAAATTTAGATGGGTATATTTATGTTTTTACTATGCATTTATTAAAAGTAACATCAATAGACTATCTTAATAAGACTGTGAATGTTAGCTCGTTGCCTGAACTTGAGAAAGACTCCACACTTTGCAATTATAGTTCTTAAACCGGCTTCACAGTGGAATCTTGGAGATTTGTTAAAATCTTAAGAACTGGAGTACTGTTTTAAAGATCTGATTTAAAAGTCTAGGATTACACTCAGGCATCTGTTTTATTTGCAGATCTGAAGTTGATTGTGATAGGTAGCTTTAAGAACTATGATCCTAGGAAAATCCATAGACTATTAGTGCTTTTTTTTTTCTTTTTGGAAGAAAAACAATTCCAATTCATTTTTATAGTGATAGGAGAACTATGTAAAGTTATGTCTTTTACATTAACATATTAAAAAGATTCTTCACCTATTATTCTGCTTATCACAATGTGTTAGCATAGAGTATGTCTCATAATTTCCTACTTACAGCGGTAACTTTAATTTTGATGGAAGCATAAGCTCAAGAGAAAAATAAATTAGAAAGGAAGAACATCACATCTGACTTTGAAAATAGTCTTTGGCCAAGTCTGATTTTCCACTGTTTTTTTCTGAGTGCTGGCTGAGAAAGAAGTAAGGAGAGACATGATTGAATAGATGTAGAGAATACTCTTAATTAGTAGCATCGACTTGTGCTGCTAGTTTATTTAGTCAAAATCTCCTTCCCAATGCAGACCACTTGAATTGCACCTTATAGAGTGACTTCTTGTACATTAAGAACTGTGACCTACTGGGCTATGTCCAGGCAAAGCTAGGGAATGGTCTGGCCTTGTAAAGCACAGATAGCTACGTCCAGTTTTCTGTGGTAGTTGACGTATCAGGAAGCTCTGGAAAACTGCATGCAGGGACCCTCCTCACAATTCACAGCCTGGAAAGTTGCTTCTTTCCAAAATGACAGGAGTCATGTTTATTCCTTATTTATAATTTACTAAGTAGCATAAGAAATGTGCATTACAGATGCCACAATTACTACCGGAAGGGGGAAGAAAATTGATTGAAATCCACAGAAGACCCTGTAGACACCATTCCCAGGAATGGCAATTGCATTTAGACCAAGATGGCATGGGATTTCACGGACAGAACAGATTCAGCTTAGATAGAAACTCAGAGCCCTAGTTTTCTGACATGTTAGGAATCCTCCTCTTTGAGATCTCAAGAAATCTTAACTTTCTTCTTCTTTGTCTTGTACATTCTCATAATCTTGTTGAATCTGAGGTCAAGCGAAAGCTCTCCTGACAGCAGAAATAAGGGGACGAAGTTAGACTATCTTTAATGCTCAGATCAGAGAGAACAGCTCATTAGAAAAATGAGGAAGTTTTCTTTCTCAGCACC